GATATAGACTTGCGGGGTGGAGGAGTAAAGCTAGCACGTACATCGTCGCCTGCCCTTCACTTTATCATATTTCCCCACCCACTACTTAAAGATTTGAATAACCCTTTGCCTCTCCAGATCAAATACCTCCAATAGCATATGAACAAGAACAGCTATACTATCAGCCTATCTGGCTAGGACTATATACTGCGCCGAGAAAGCCAATCTACAACAGAGTCGCTACAAAGAGCGTTGCCAAACTTCCCCCGTCAAAGCAGACCATAGAAAGTAAGTACTTGGCATGGAGCCAAAGGCGCGAACGAGCGGAGAGCGAAGTCATACTAACGGCTCAACAGTAGCTATGAGCTCAATGTCAAAACGAAGTTCACCGCCCAAAAGGTCAGGGCGCGTGGACTGGACGGTGAATTCGATAGGACAAAAATACACGTCCTCTTTCGATTCACATGACATGCTTGAGTTGAATCGACAGAAGATTCCTGCAAGGCCAATAAAGACTCCCATCCCAAGCCCAAGGATGACTCCAACTTCCAGTCCGGCCGAAACCCCTTCTTCCAGCCCACCAAAAAGATCCAAGACCCCTCTGTTCTCTCGTGGCAAGTCATCGAAAACGCCAACGCTCAAGTCAATGATCAGCTCCCCGAGTACCAGTAACCTTGACCTCGTCAACGGCCTCGCTGAGTATCAGCAGCCTACCATCATGTCAAAGCCAATAGCGCAACTGCCACGCAAACTAGCAATCTCGCCAAAGCATAACTATGGCTCTGAAAGCACTATATCTACCTATAGCATTGGGAGCATTTCTTCCCCAGAGAACTTCAGGGTCCTGCCAAAATCCGGACCTCCAACTCCAGTGGACCGATCTACCCGAGTCGACTCTCCAAGAGCATCTCCGAACAGTACCTCTGACCTGACCCGATACGACTCCTGGGGAACGTCATATTCTCAGCAATCATTCCCGTTTCCATCAAGTACCCACGCATCTGCGGCTCGATTTCCCTCCACCAGCTCCTCAGCCAGCTCTACCCCCGCCCTAAAGACCTACGTGTTCTTGAAGGATTCGAAATCTACGACCAGATTAAATGCCAAAGCGCCGACTCCAAGAGTGCCGTTTAATACTCGGAGCAAGTCTGATGGGATTCTCGACGAAAGGGAGGAAGATGATGGACAGGTTGGTCTCGGAATAGTGATGAAGCCATACAGGCCTTTGAAAGTCGAACAAAGGTCAGCCGATAGCAGCGGAGAATCCAAGACCCGCAAGTCTCGAGCAGACGGCGTGGTGGAGTATACAGAGGTAGCGCAAGACTTTGATTCCACCCTGCGCAGACATCGACGGAGCTCAGATGGGGAAGGGGAAGTTAGTAGTCCAGCTTTCAAAAGAGAGCCCATTCCACCTGGCTATAATGGCGACCACATAGAAGTCATCGACAAGCTTTTAGATTACAATTATCGTGGTCAAGCAGAGACGTTCAACAGCATCTCGAATCGTTCGGCGTCTAAAAGTATACATATTCGATCGGTTTTGCAGAAGCAGAGGTCACCCTGGTCGGCAGTTCGCTGCGCCACAACAACACCATCATCCTCATCCTACGAAACCCCCACTCGATCGGGCAGGGGCGACATCAACTTTAACAAAGAAACATCGCAACAACGAAGTGCATCGTCGCGAAATCCCGTGAAGAGAGAGTTTAATAGTTGCCAGTACAAGTACAAGTACAAGTACAATCACAGCACGACGCATCGGACTCCAAGCGGCCGCACAATCATCGAAGCTTATCGCGAAACTAGTGGTCTGAGTCCAGCTCTTCCGCCAGGAACTCCACATCACACTTACGGCCATCGTATCTACCAAGTCCCTTCAGACTCTCCCACCATCGTCAAAAGACAGCATCGACAGAATCATCCCACTCGTGCCGAACGGGGTCTCTTTTACTTCACCGAAGACGAGAATATTGCCATTCAAGAAGAGGTCAACTCTAAGAATCATAGCTGTGGCAAACACGAGCACTGCACCGACTGTCGGGAAACTGCATACTCCTTCCTCGAAAATAAAGCTATGCCTACCTCCATGCCCCCCGAGGAGCGCCAGAAGGTGATCAACAACAACAGATCCCTTCGAAACATCAAGAATGTAAGCTCATATTCACCAACCAAACTGTCCATCTTCAAAGCTGAAGCTAACCTTCAATACAGGAACTTGAGAACCTCGCAGAAGCAGGAGCCATCTCCGACGACATCTTCGACCAAATCATGGGCGTCCTCCCCTCGGAATCTTCCCTCGGCGGCTCCTCTCGTACAAACACACACGCAGCTCCCTCTCCGTCTCCAGTCCCCACCAACGCCTTTCAAAATATGCATGTCGCCGACCCCGCTCCTCCATCCTACAGCAACAGCAACAACGCAGCTGCACCGCCCTCTCTCCCTACCCGCAAAGCATCCACGCCATCGAAGCCAGAAATCGCTCGCGCGACAGCTCTATACCGCTATGCCGAGCCAGATGACTGCAACTTCGAAGTCGGTGACACGATTGTTGTCTACGAGTATATGAATGCCGACTGGTGGCTCGGAAAGAACGTGCGCACCGGGAAGGAGGGTGTATTCCCCGTTACCTACGTCCAAACAATGACCAATCCTGATTCTGCTCCTACCAACAGCCATTACGGCGATGAGAAAAAGAACGGCTACCCAGGCATAGCACAGCAACAAAACCACGGCCCTCCACCACCCGGCCCAAGCAATCCGTACAACAGCGACGTTCCTCCAATGCAGATCGCGGAGCAGCCTAGTGATGGGAAGCAGCCGGGTAAGGGGGGTGCGATGGGCAAGAAGTTTGGGAAGAAATTGGGAAACGCGGCGATTTTCGGGGCCGGTGCTACGATTGGTGGCAATATTGTGAACAGCATCTTTTGATTGTCGTTTGCCTTGGTAATTTTATTCTGGCGTTAAGGATTTGAACAAGTACGGTGCTTGCTTGTGCGACCAGTTCCTGAATCAGGACGGTCTGCTTTATGACGCTGGTCGGCAATTGGTGCATGACGACGAATAAAGGCTCTGTAGAAAGCTCGCCTGCCGTTCATTTTATATAGAGGCTTCTATGCCCACTACATACTAAAATGGATAGATATATTTCCCTCGAGACATACTCATGCTTGTTACCCGTCCCCTTTTCCGTTGTCCTCGGGGATAAATCACTCTCCGCCTTTCAAGCCCAAATTGCCTAACCTTGCACTACTATATATCTTCGACCTATGATCAAAAAGACAGGCATCTGACCGACTCAAAACCTTGTGTAGACTTACATGCCATGCCGATTCGCACTCTTTCTAGCTTTACTCTGTCCACTCCCCGTCTTCCTTACTCTTCTTCCCACCGAAAGAGCCCGCCCTCTGGGGCTATTCACATCTGTTCTAATCCTCGGAATATAAACAAGCGCTGTTAAGAAATCATCTACTGTCAAGGATTTTTGACGTTTGTTTATTTGTTTGTTCGGTCAATCCCGACGAGACTGTGCATCGCTCTCGGAGGAGGATTGCGACTGGCGTGTTTTCATATTGTGTTGTGTTGGTTATTCTCGGATGTTTACCAGTCGGCACAGCGGGTCGTGATCACCAAAGTAGATTCTGGGGCGCATGTACGACGTAATTATATCCTGGGTGCTTTACAGTAATCCGCTGCCTAGCGTAGGTAGGTAGGTAGGTATCCCGGGGCGTTTTTGGTGTAGGGAGGAGTCAGAAATGTCTTCTTTGCATGTGTTCCGGATCGGATGCAGTGGTGTGCGTTTATGGTGGTCGAGGGATGTTCTCATTAAAACCTTCCTCTCCTCCCTGTTCTTTGAATCCTCGGTACGGAAATGTGTAAAGGGCTGTTGGACGACAGATTCAGTTCTAAAGCACTGAGAAGCGACACGCCTCCTTGAATCTCTAACCAGTACTTCGACAGCCCTACCTACAAGGCTCAAGATTTCAGGGCCATCTGTCCATAACAAGGCAAAATATACCCGGACAATACCAAATTGTAGTGTATCATCCATTACGAACCGCTTCCTTCAGATCAGAGATTCCAGAGCAGTAGATACAGGATGCAAAAGTTCGTCTGCCGCCCAACATCGAGACGTCTACTGAAAGACGTCTCACACACACAGCTCCGTGTAGGAAGGCAAAGTTGTGGACGTGGTCGAGCGGATATAGAACAAGATCAAGAAAATCTCTGCTGAGGATTTCTGATGTAGAAGCTCGCTACCCATCTGGGACTAGCGTGAGGCTAGTCAAGCTAAACGCTTTTCTTCACAACCCGCACTTTTCTTTTGACTTCGCAAGATGGAGTCCTTGAGCGAAACAAAATGGGACGTCGTGATCGAAGGGACCGGTCTGCAGCATTCTCTGCTTGCCTTGTCAGTATATCTTGCTTGTCAACGATCTCTATAGTTCACATCTGACTGACTCAGCTGGCCGTGAAGAGCATTGTCCCGCTCCGACAAAAAGATCCTTCACGTCGACCAGAATGAATATTATGGTGCCGCCGAAGCCGCTTTCAGTCTTCAAGAGGTGGATGGATGGGTAGAGAGGACCAAAGGATGTTAGTTCATCTCTTCACTTGCTTCAAATTCGTTCAAAGCTTACATGGTATAGGTTCTGATGGAGCTCCTTTTCGGAATGCTACCTTGTGGAAGGCAGACGATGATGAGTCGACGAACTCAGAGAAGCTCGCCTTCTCTAGATCTTATACCCTCACGCTCTCCCCGCAAATCATCTACACAAAGTCGAAGCTACTTGCCCTGCTGGTGTCCTCGAAAGTCTACCGTCAGCTCGAATTCCAAGCAGTAGGCAATTGGTGGTTGTATAATGAAGTCGATGAAGAGCTGCTGAAACGCTTGCCAAATGGACGGGAGGATATCTTCCAAGACAAGAGCATTGATAATAGAGCCAAGCGGAGTTTGATGAAGTTTCTTAAATTCATCGTGGACTTTGAGAACCAAACGGGGATCTGGGAAGCATATGGCGACAGCAGCCTTCAAGAATTCCTCTCTTCCCAGTTCCAACTCCCACCACGCCTTCAACTTGTCATAGCCGCCTTGACGCTGTCATTTGACTCTCCTGATAAGACTACCGTGCGGTGGGCTCTTCCAAGAATAGCTCGGCATCTGACATCGATGGGAATATTTGGGCCCGGCTTCAGTGCTGTGGTACCGAAGTGGGGTGGAGGCGCTGAGATTGCGCAAGTTGCTTGTCGTGCAGGAGCGGTGGGAGGTGGTGTGTATGTTCTTGGTACAGATGTCGAAAACTCCCAGACTATCGAGTCCACCGAAGAAGAAATGCTGGAACAAAAGTTCAGCCTTTCTCTTTCTAATGGGGAGACCGTTACGACACGACATTATATCAATACCAAGGACCCGACTGCTTCCGATGGGATTGTGGTCTCAAGGATCATCGCCGTCATCTCCTCTCCTCTACTTCCCATCTTTGCGAGCTCGACCGAGGGCTCTCCACTCGCCGCTGTTTCAGTCGTAGTCTTCCCACCAAACTCATTCAGCCAGGATGGTGTCTCCCTGACACACCCCGTCTACATTATGATACACTCCAGCGAAACTGGAGAATGCCCAGTTGGTCAATGTAAGTATCCATCCCCTTTCTGTTTCTTTTCACTCGCGTTACATGATGATCCAACTTTATGAATACTTATCTACATTGTCTGAATTACTTTGACGATAACATACCTCTGACAGTCTGATGATGCTCTTGCTTTGCAAATTCTTTGATACTTTTACTATGGAAACTGCATAGCTAACCCATTGCATCATAGGCGTCCTCTATGCAAGTACACGATATTTCGAGAACAGCAAAGTGGTCCTGGAAGCAACCATATCCAAGTTTCTCGAGGCAGTGAAGGACAATGTAAAGTTGTTGTATACCCTCTACTACGAGCAACAACAAGTCACCGCAACCTCTTCCCTTGATCTCGCCTTTGACGATCAGATCCTGGACAATGTTGAAGAGCAATGGAAGGCAGTCTCAGGTTATGGCGATGATGAAGAACACCCCCCATTCATGCAATTTGCAGATAGGGAAGGCATGAATGCTGATGATGATAATGATGATGGGTATTAATGTATTCGGTTGGGGTACGGTCGGAGTATGGAGTTATGCTCTGGCTATTATATCAGTCTGCACAAATATCATATGTTCAATATTTTGCAAAATTATCATTCGTTCAAGTGAAATAATGTTCGCTCTGTGGTCCTTTCTGGGCCCTCTGGAATTGCAGGAGTGGAACCACAGTGTAGCCCCGCTGTGCGTAGAGGTGCACTCTGGAGAATATCTTTATAGTGAGTTTTCACTGTAATAACAAGGGCTGAACACAAATAGTGAAATGGGACTTCTCTTTCTTTGCAGATCTTACCAAGAGGAATATTCAGCTCCATATTTATTTTTACCCACCAATGGTTTGCGCCAAAGTCCGAGCCTCCTATGGAGATACGGGCACGGGGTTAGGCAAGCTGGCGGGGCGAGCTTCTTGGAAACATACGGACGTCAACTTTGGATTCTTAATCCTTACGCTTTTGTTTAGAATAAGAATTGCGGCCATTGCCTCGGAAAGTATTGGCAATCATTGGCCAATGTATGATGTTTGGCTCCACTCAGCGGCCACCACGAGTCGGAGACTGGAGGGACGGGGGCTCATGTCATATGATGGAATAGCTAGTTGCTGCTGAATACTACAATAACTTCGCAGCATTGAGAAAGAATGCTACTTAAAGAGTTTATATCCCGCAGGGCAGTCTCCCTTTGCCTCACTTCCTCACAAACTCTCGAATCGACCCACTTCCACACAACAGACTTCTCCATCAACATCCCTCATCTCACAATGGCTACCACTAAAGGCATATCTTTCAACCCCACCACCGACATCCCCTCCCTCGACGGCAAGGTCATTCTCATCACCGGTACCAATAGTGGCCTAGGGAAACAAGCCTCTCTGGAGCTAGCCAAGCACAAACCGGCGCTCATCTGGATGGCTGCTCGTAGTCCTGAGAAGGGCAATGAGGCAGTTGCCGATGTCAAAACCCAGGTCCAGGGTGTCGCTGTCAAATTTTTGGAGCTGGATTTGAGCTCTTTTGATTCGATTAAGAAGGCTGCGAAAACTGTGCTTGAGGAGTCCTCACGGCTGGATATTTTGATGCTTAATGCTGGACGTAAGTAACCGTTGCCGAGATGGAGGGATTACATTCATGCGTTGAACCATGGCAAACACCAGCTACTACTGAAGCTAGTGCTCCAAATTCAGCTTCAGCTACTCCTTCCTCCCATTCCTCTTTCGTGGTATAAAACTGACATCCCACCAACAGTCATGGGCTGCCCACCCGCACTAACAAAAGACGGCTACGAGATCCAAATGGGCACCAACCACATCGGCCACGCTCTCCTCCTCAAGCTCCTCACGCCTCTCCTGCTCAAAACAGCCAACTCCCACCCCGTGCGCATCATCAGCCTCGCCTCATCAGCCTGGAAGTATGCCGGGCCCGAGAAAATCCAATTCTCAACCCTCAAGTCCGTCGACGGCGTCACGCCCGTGAACCGCTACATCCAGAGCAAAGTCGCCAACATGATGTACCCCCAGGAATTCGCTAAACACTACCCCTCACTGACAATCGTTTCCATCGACCCCGGCGAAGTCAACACGCAGCTGTTCACGCGCGAGCCCGGCGATGCGCAGATGAAACATTTGCAGACGGAGGTGGTGCCGAAGGTTGTGAGGGGTGTAGAGGAGGGCGTTGTTAATCAGCTGTGGGCTGCGACGGGCGAGGGGGTTACGAGTGGGCGCCATTATGGACCGGTGGGGTTTTATGAGGCGACGGGGCTTGTGGTCGATACGGAGTTGGCGGAGAAGGTCTGGGAGTGGACGCAGAAGGAGCTAGATGGGCAGGCTATCTGAGAGCAGAGCCGTCTGTCTATCATGAAGCTTTTGACTAATATATGAATTTAACGTTATTATCTATTTTGTGAATGGAATGGCCAAAAGCCGGACTTTAGCTCTGTAATCAAATTTCACTTTCGCTCCACTCCTCCCTCTCAATGCCATTTTGTTGAAGGACATTGCGTTCCCTCGTGATCACTTCGCATCCACCACCGCTCGTTTTCCGTTTGAAGATTAAGATGGCTTTTCCAGATGGGCTGTCCGGCAAAATAACCTGGACGTCATATACCCTGCGAGACGCTGGTATCGTTAACAGACTGAAGTCATGGTCTTGAGGCTCTAGCAACGTTTCACCAACTAGATTGTCTTTGCGATAGTCCGCTTCCTCGATCCTCATTAATTCTTCTGCAACAGAGGCTGCGAATATAGCGTCCCAGATACCTTCTCTACTTGGAAGTGAGCGTAGGAGTTTAATAGCTTGGGTCCGGACGCTGTGAATCCGACAATGGAGGGCTGTGAAATATAGAGGCGGGATCCACTACATCCAAATTAGTACTCTGATTTTTGCACAGGACAAGACTGAAGACTCTCGAGTCGAGAGTATGAGATACTCTTGCAATTTCAACACTGTAAGATCAAGGAGTAGATACAAAGAGAGAAGTCACTTACACCAATATCAGCAGTGAAGTGGAACATCTCTAAGCCCGAACCCAGAGCAGGGTTTCGATTGAGAACAGCGCGAACAGTTTCCAAAAACCTGTTTGCACTAGTGATTATAGACACAAAACTAGGGCCGTGAGCATCGAAAGCCATCTCATCTTCCGGCCAGAGACAGGTGTGAACTAGAATGTTCGCCATGGTATAGTAGAGCAGCAGTAGCTGGTATCCAGCGCTCGAGACCTTATCTAGCTGGACCTGGAAAGTGACTCTAGACGCCTTGTAGGTATGAAGCCACGCCTGCAAGTTCGATTTGATGCGCCGTTGCACTTCGAGCAGGTTCTCGCCTGGATCGGAATACCCTGAGCGTTTCTGGCGGCACTGGCCCGCCAGGTAAAATATATCATTGAATAGATAATCGAGATTGTCTCTTGCTTGAGCGGGAGACTCGAAGGTGATAGGCAGCGGCTGGTACTTGAGCAGATGCGGGCTTGAAGGAAACCAGTATCCCTGACCAAACTGTACAGCCAGCAAAGTCATCCGCGTAAAAACTTCAACGAGCCAGTCATCAATAGGTTCCCGACTAGAGACCTGATCGAGCCCATCCAGCAGTTTTATACCACTCTGCAAGTGCACATTCCCCATACTATAGCGGCCGCGCAGAAGTTCCAGACAGACAAACAGCATGCAAGCAACAAGGGTGACACGCACCGAAGCCTTATCCTTGCCTGTGAAACGAGGCTCAAGAAGGTGCGTGACGGCCTTATTGTACTGACGCAGCGAGAACTGTTCCAGCAGGTCAGGATACCTCTTTACCCCCATCTCCTGCACACCGAACCACACCCTCTTGTGCACCGAGCTCAGCGCTAGCATGGCGTGGAAGATAGCTGGCTCTTCCAAGCTACCTCGCATGACTAGCGCGTCCCAGAACGACGACCCGAAGGCGCCACGGAACTTCACGGCTGTGCGGCTACAGAACCACTGCATACAGCCGTGTTCGGCCTGGCTCTCTGGGGCTACGGCACTGAGCAGGACTTGCGTGGTTGGGTCTGCGGCAATGGGAACGAGGTTGGTCCCGCCGCCCCAGACTCCGTAACCTTTACATACCCGTTTGGTGGACACGCACCGCACGCACGCAGGTCGACCCTCATCACACTTTACTTTCCGAAGACTTGGAGATAATGAGCAAAAGATCTGGAAAGTAGGCGTGTATTGACCAGGAGGGCTTACTTACCTATAATCAAGACCTCCGAGTTAGTATTGTCTTGTACAGGCAAAATCCAGCAGTTGAAACATTGTTCTAGGGGGGTTGACATGACACGTTAGAAGCTGCTCGGTTTTTGAAGCCTTCTACAGAGTAACTACTCCAGATATATTCGAAATCCGGTATAGATGCTCAATAAGGTAACTTACTTACCGACATGTTTGGCACCCGGATTTCACTTTCTTCGCCCTCGGATTGCTACCGCCTGCCTGCCCCAGACATCGAGACCTAGATACCTGATCGCGTCTCACACTATCCATTCCTTTCCTCTATTAGATGGTGTCTGGTGTATGTATAAAACCGCGTAAAATGGTTGCTGGATGTATATCCCGGTTTTGAAATCGCGCATTTGAGGTCTCGATGTGGGGACGATACCTCTTCACGTGACACGGATTTAAGCCGGATCTAAAGCTTGAGTCTTTGGTTCCTGGTACTTCATACAATAGAATTATGTCTAGCATAATTTGACGGGATTATCTTACTGGTCTAATTCTTACTGTAGCTCATTTTGCTTGGTTTTATATTTAAGGGCAATTGCCCTCAACGCACTGTACTGTACCCCTTTTGCTTAAGCGAGAGGGAAGAGGTCACGCTTTCTACATCAAGGTACTAAATATCACATTTACGAGGAGCAGCTCACACAATACATGAGGGGAAGCTAAGAGGTAGATACTTGAAGCAATAATCAAGTACACTGCGCCCGACTTTCTTAAAATAGGCTCTGAGGACGACATCTTGTATATAGGGAACAAGCTTGTAAACACTATCCGACGTATCCGTGAGTTCGAGTGATCCATCCCGCCTACGAATGGATAGATCGCTTTCTGGAGAATACAGACTGTGATAAGATGTCCAGCCATAATACTACTTCGACTGGAGCGAAGGCTGAATATGTGTATGTAAAGGACAGTTTCCATCATACTTCGAATCGAAGATACCTTCAACTTCCGTCCATTCACTAGATAGCCTCGTATGGAGTTGAAAGACTATGACGTTCGATCGAGCAGATGACCTCATCCTGGCATGTATCAAACGACCTTTTCTGACAATGCAACTAGAGACTCGGTGGTCGTCTGGGACTAAGTGGTGGCTAATATTATTGTTCTGAAGAAGGATAGCACGACAGGTCTTTTGGGTGAGCAAGTCGCAAGCGTGAGTATTGAAGGCGTAGGGACAGCACTGAGTAATAAGACTTCGGGTGCTATTGGACAAGTGAAATGCAGAACAACAGACTTTAGGGAATTCATCTAAGCCCATATAACATTTGAGAATGCTCACCGTGATAGCGTCACAGGTAAAAGTGCAGGACTTGAGGCGAGCAGGGAGAGACCTTGACTTGATTGCTGTACCGCGTCCCCGGAAATCATCGACTTCAAGCACTGCCCGAGGGTTTCGTATCTTCTGCTAATGAGTTTTGCAGCTAAGGTGCGGCAGCTTTCTTTTCATCGAGGTCATTCACTGGAGGAATAGTGCTGTAAACATCAATTCACGGGAAAGTCATGTGGTAGATAGAAGTTGAAGGTATACATACCTGTTGCCCGAGTGCATTCGTTGGGCCCACTCCACCAAATTCTCTATGCCGGCTTCCAGCTTGTTTACTGGCGTTTACACCCATCACATTTCCTAACTTCATTGAAGTGTTCCCCGCAACTAAACTTAATCACGTTTGGAGCTACTCCCTATAAAAGACTTTATGCCGTGCCGTCTTCTTAGTATGCCCCAAAATAATATTTACACTGCCCTGTTGAGTAATACAGTGGCAATGATTAATTCATGCTATGGTACGTAACTTCCCCGAAAAGAGTTTCGGAGTATCTCAAGGATATTGCAGCTCCGATGATCGAAACGATTGAGTTGGGAGACTCACCACCAGTGTCTGATTTAAAGTTGAGTTTAATCTAGAAACTGTTCCCAGAATAGGAAGACACATGAAAACTTATAGGGAAGATTTCCATATTGCAATGCCTTTTTGCACAATAGGCGTTTCGTATCAAATGTCTTTGTCCAGGTTTTAAAGCTTGGTGTTGGTTTCAACGTGAAAAGCTTGTCAAAGAGGTTTTAATTCTAGAATTATGCATATTTGTCTTCGCGGTGTGGAGTTTCAGCGATCCAAACAATTCTCTCTTGATCGTTTGAGAGGGCTATGAGACATCCGATCCGCTATTCTGATGTTGGTGGGATCTGAGCAGCTTTAAGAGATGATCCCTTGCATATGCAGTTGTGTTTGAGAAACTTCAGAGGATCGAGGGAGTTATTTTTAGGGAACTATGATCTTTTCTCCAGGAAGATGAAGTTGTTGATGTTTCGAAGCTTGGACCTGGTTTCAGCTGTTGGCCACGAGGGCGTTACGGGATAAGGCTGATACACGAAACGACATGTCGAGTACAAAACATGGGACAAGCATGAGATGATTTTGAGGAAGTAGTCCGGATAGATCTATATTGATAAAAGTCATGCTCTGACTGGCTGTGAAGCGATATTCCAACCCGGCCCCAGGAAAGTTGCATTCGTGAGACAATCTTTTGGGATCAGAAGCTGTGGGAATTGCAATCATCGACATAGGACTGCCTGTGTTCGTTCTAGCGATTCACTCAAGTCATAAACACCCAGTGAAGGATTGTGGAAGGTTGGAAGCCAAGAATTGTAGGAATGGGTAGCTACTTCGGAGTCCGTACCTTCGTATGTGACGACTTCGTGCAAAGCGCAAACTAGACTAGACTAGACCCGGGTCTTCCACCAAAGAGGATCTCCCGAGGGATTGGTGCCTGTGCTCCTTACCAAACTCTCATGGAAATCGGTTCAAATTTTGACTTACCGAGAAGTTAAGATTTAATATATCGCACCTGCAGGACGACTCGTCACGCGAATGAACTCTACCCCCACGCCGTAAATCCCCCCTATCAGTGATTTTTTACCGTCACCCACAGGCCGTAGTTTCGGTGCTTCTATTTCCCCTACCGTCAAGTTTACAAAGATAAAACCGGAGGCCGAAAGGGGTATTTTCTAAGAGACATGGTATATTCTGTCTAACGCCACCAATATTTTGGGCCTTGAAGCGTACAGGGAATGATGCAGGAAGATCCGGGGTATTACTTGC